AAAAAAAAAAAAAAGAAAAACGAAAAAATTCCCTTCAACTTAATATGGTTATGTAATATATGAAGAAAATGAAATTACTTACCGCTGGATTTTTTTTAAGACTTTGTAATCCGAGCCCCTGCATGATGTAGGTGTACTAGTTAAAGATAAATATTTACAAAATGTACATATTTTAAATTAAATACATTTTCTTACTTCTTTACTTTTAATCAACTATGGATTGATATTAAATGTCTTACTGAGTGTTAGAGCTGGGCAACAATCGATGACACTATCGAGATATTTTTACCTCTCTGCACAATGGGTGATTTTTGTCATCGATAGTCTTGAGATATAAAAATCACATCACTAACTAGATTACACGCAGACCGAACCAGTGTTGCCGTTTAGGCTCATTTTCGGCCAGATCGGGCTAATTTCCGAGTGCGATTCGTAAAAAAATTTGGGAATTGAGGATAGCGGAAAACCTGGATTATTTACGAATCGAAATAGCTAATACTTATTTTGATTAATATCTCATATTAGTAGCCACAATAAAGTTTCTCAATAACCGATCAATAGACAAATTAACAAGCTGGCAACTACACTAACCATAGAATCACTAACCACAGAACACATAACCGGACAAGTAGTGTACAGTGTTGCCGTTTTGGTGTATTTTCAGCCAGATCTGGCTTATTTTTAAGTGCGATTGCGGAAAATATTTGGTAATTGCGGATAGCGGAAAATGTGGCTAATTTATGAATAGAATCAGCTAATACATATTTTGTTTAATTTCTGACAACCATTAAAGGCTAATATCACTAGTTCTGCAATACTTTCATCTCTAACATATAATGGTTCAATAGATTTGCTGTTGCGCTTCGCATACATATGTTACCTTGGCGGAATGCCAAAATGGAAGAGTCTTTAGCCAAGTCTATTTAATAAATTATTAAATAAGAAATAGGATGAACATTGATACGTTAAACTCAATATCAAGGATAAAGTCTCATTAAAACAGAAACTAATATTTTTAAGATTTTACATCCGAATTGAGCTGAGATAACAGATGATGTTTTGATTACAGAGTTTTTCCAAACTGCCTCAAATCGATCGAAACCAAGAAATATTTA